ATTGGCTTTGCTTGTCAGAAGGTTGCAAAAGGAGATCACATGACCCCGGGACACTGCGATGGTCGTAAGTATGAACCACTTGGCAAACATCTGAATTTTGATCGGATGGGGATGCTGCAAACATCGTAATTGTGAAAAAATGGTCGTAAGTCATTTTTTTCAGTGCCGCTGTAGTTTCCAATAGCCACTACATCGGGTCCCCAAACCTAACAACTTTAAGACTTGTGGACTTCAACTCCCAGCCAGAAAATTGAGAACTATCTGTACTAGCAAATACTGCATTGAGTTATCACATTTAAAGGAATGTTTGGTGATATTTGGAAATTTAGGTTACATTTGAAATCCTGCATGGCTATAAATTGGGAAATTATTCAGAATTAAGTTTTACCGAAGCCAGACACTGCATGCATCTCAGCTTGTGTGATGCAGGTAACAGTATGTTGGCTTGCAAACTAATAGCAATAGCACTTAGACTTATATACTGCTTTGTAGTGCTTTACAGCTCTCTCAAAGCGGTTTACAGAGTCAGCCTATTGCCCCCAACAATCTGGATTCTCCTTTTACCCACCTCAGAAGGATGGAAAGCTGAGTCAACCTTCAGCCTGGTGAGATGCAATCTATCAAATTGCAGGGAGCTGGCTGTAGCAGAAGTAGCCTGCAGTACTGTGCTCTAACCACTGCATCATTGAGCATAAATGATACTGGCTTGCGTAGAACAGCATACATACATGGATGGGATAAAACTGGGATTTGAATGGCTGGCATTGTTCTTACCTTTAGCAGAAAATGTTGCATACAGAGCAGGTACGACAGATACATGCAATTTATGAAATGTTATATGGACAAGGTGAAAACCAGCATGGTCTCATGGATAGAAAAATATGGAAAAGCATTATTAATTTTCAGATTTCATTTCTTTGCATAACATTGTTAACTCCAAAAAGGGAAATATTACACAACGGGTAAACAATGTTAGACAAGGAAATGGAATTTGAAGTGGTAAAACAAAGACAAGATATTCAAACAGGAAATATATTCAGTTTCTTTCAGGTATCTCCTAATTTCTTCTTGATCATCAGTCACAGGTTTTATTGGCTTTGGGGTCAGAGGATAAGTTTGGACTGATTGGGCCAAGCAAACTTGCAACTTGTTTGATGAGGAGTACAGGATGTAATTAATGATTATTTTACACGGTGGATAATCTGGTCTAGAAACGGAGTTATTTGTTAGCTTTGGCAGAGCAATAGCATTGGCTAAAGCACAAGAAGAGGAAGGCTAGCAAAAGCTGTTTAGGGGTTCAAGAAGTGCAAGGATTTTATCATATACCAGGACACTTGGGCAGAAGAGAAACCAATCTTCTGAATTTTGAAAGACATTCAGCCAGAACTCAAGCTTATCGGTGTACGCATTTTGATGAAAAACCCTACAAATGACTTGACTGTGGCAAAAGCTCTGGAGTCAGCTTCAGCCTGAATAGGCACCAAAGAATCCTCCTTGGAGGGAAGCCCCATAAATGCAGTCAGTGTGTGTCAGCCCTTTGAGGTAGTCCAGACAAGAGAGCAAAATCATGAATACTAACACTACTTATTCTAAGTTTACAATAACAGAATCTTTTAGGCCTGGAAGCACTTTCTGTGATGGTATATGGAAAAGGACCTTGGGAGATGCTGCCTAGGGCAATGATCAGATAAGACCACTTAGCCTGCAACTGGATAGTGGGAATGGTAAGAAACTGGGAAGAGACCCTCCCTAGCTTCTTGGGCTGTAAAAGAGAAGGTGAAAGACCCGTAAGAGGGATAAATAAAGTCCAGCCACTAGGAGGAACTGTCCAGGGAGGCTGGACTCATTCTATACCGGTCAGTCCTCGCTTCACTTCCTTGCAGCATCTGGTCATCCGCATGGCTCAGCTTAAAAGGAGCCTGCTTATATGTAGTACTTACCTTTTCGTTGCATTTTTTTTGCATGTTCAATTCCAAAGCAGGGCAAAATGAACATATTTTAATTGTTGTATTTACTGGAAATACTGAAGGAATTCTTAGGTGGGGAAAGTTATGTGTTTATATTTCATATTTCTTAACTGCCCATTTCCCTCATTACTTTTAATCTCTCAATTGGCAGACAGCGAGGAAAGGAAAAAGAGAAACCTTGCCCTTTACAGAATAGGCAAAGTTTTTTCCTTTTGTGGATTCAAATTTCCTGACTGGGAGAAATGCAAAATAATTTGGTCAACTGCGTTGAAAGTCAGAATATTAATAGGAAGGCAGATAGGAAGAAATCTCACAGTGTTCCTAGGATTAATCTAATAGTGGGTAAGAAAACCCCTTTCTTATACTTTTTCAGGTCCTTTGATTTGGAAGTGAAGTCTTTGATTTGTGTATGTTGAATTCCTGCCTCTTTGAGATTGGAATCTTGGTTTTATGGTCCTGATCCTTTGTAGTTGCTTGTTTGCTAGCATGTTTCCTTCCTGCTGTGCCTTTTGGTTTGCTTTTCACAAGTGTTTTTATAGCTTGCCATCTATTTGATTTCTATGGGAAAGGATCTTAGCTAGTTTGTAAGGTTTTTTCTCTGTAATTTTCTCCTTCCTTTGTTGTGAAAAGTAAGCTGGTTCCAGCTATTTTAATAGCCCTACTTGACAAAGGGTGGGGGCTGATGGAGCTGACCCTGCTTGTGTTTTCAACCTCTTCCTTTCTTCTAATGTTTTCCTAGAAGACAGGGGAATCACAACTTCCAACAACAGCATAATTTGCACATGCTGAATCACGTATTAAACTGACCACAGGTGAACAATTTGCTGTACAAGTCACACCAAGCTGCATAATGAGACCAATTCTGACTTGCTGGTTCAGCATTTTGGCCAGTATTTGGGGTGTCTGCAAGTTATAGCCAAAGGCAGAGTTTCAATCTTGTTGTTGGGGCCACTATCTTGACTTTTTCAACAATACCGTATTCCAGCCTGCATCAGATCATTAAAAAAACAACTGAGGAGGCACTGCAGTGAGACCATTTCCATTTTGTGGCTGATCTAATGTTTCATCCATAGCTAGAATCCAGAAAAGTAGTGTTACTTTCAAATCAACCCACCTAGACATGTCCTGGGGAAATTAAATTGAGGGAATAGGTTTCTTTTCCAATTTGGTACTGAGGAAAGAAAAAAAAGCCTTGCCCTTCAAGGAAAAAGGCAAAGTTCTTTCCTTTTCTGGATTCAAAGTTACATTCCTCTCTCTTCTAGGAAAACAGCCCCCATCCTTTGTCAAGAAGGGCTACTAAAATAGCTGGAGCCAGGTTACTTTTCACAACAAAGGAAGGAGAAAATTTACAGGCACGGGATACAGAGAAAAAACCCTACAAACTAGCTAAGATCCTTTCCCATAGAAATCAAATAGATGGCAAGTTATAAAAACTTGTGAAAAGCAAACCAAAAGGCATGGCAGGAAGGAAACATGCTAGCAAACAAGCAACTACAAAGGATCAGGACCATAAAACCAAGATCCCAGGAAAAGATCCCAATCTCAAAGAGACAGGAACAACACAAACACAAATCAAAGACTTCAGAGAAAATCAAAGAACCTGAAATATATGAGAGAGGCTGGTTTTCCTACTCACTTATTAGATTAATCCTAGGAACGCTGTGAGATTTCTTTTTACCTGCCTTCCTATTAATAAACTGATTCTGACTTTCAACAAAGCTGACCAAATTATTTTGCATTTCTCCCAGCCAGGAAATTTGAATCCACAAAAGGAAAGAACTTTGCCTATTCCTTAAAGGGCAAGGCTTCTTTTTTCCTTTCCTCAATTGGCGACTGGTGGTTTCCCAGCCAACCTAGCCACCGGATGGGGTCCGGAGATCAAAACCCAGCCGGATGGACTGGGGAGAGCATCCACGGACCCTGCCCGGGGGGCATTGGGTAGTAAAGGGACTCCTTGAGATTTGAACTGAACAGCTACTTGAAAGCAGGTGAGTACCTCTTTAAATTTCAAATCCTAGAACTGTGGGGAGTGGAAGAGAGAGTGAAATGCTGGGGGGGGCTTTGGGGGGGGAACAGCTGGATCCCACCTCCATTGACCTCTAGCCGCACCCCAACCTGCTGCTAGTTCAAAAAGAGCAGTGACCGGCAGGGTTGGGAAAGCAAGGGGAGCTCACGGAGTGTGAGGCCTTCTGAAGGATGCAAGGATAAGCTGAGTGGGATATGAAGTGAGAAGCTTAATGGGAGAAAGTAAGGCAGGAAAAACTCTGGACCTTCTATCACCTTCACACTCCTTTCTTCAGATACTGTAATTTTAGCTTACATACAAATATGGCAGGAAGATATTCTAACAAGATGTGGCAGGTGTGGGCCAGTTCTGTAAACCCACAACTTTTGACTCCATAAATTCCAGGGCTCCATATATCCCCTTAATCCTGGAAAAAGGCCATATATACAACTCAGTTTTAAAACTGCAATTAATGGCAATCAGAAATGAATTGGGGGGAAAAAGGAATGCAGTCAGAAATCAAGTCATCCCACATACACCATGTACAAATAAATGGCTTCCTTACTCAAATGTAAGGAATGTGTGATGCTGTAATTGCATATTAGTTAAACAGTATATATTAATTCTCACAATTAATCCATTTATGGAGAATCCCAGAAACTGAATCATACTGTCTCCAAGTCTGAATTCACACACAGTTGGCTAATTTGTGGGTTGAGTGAACAAGAGGAATTTTTAAGACTCACACTTCCTTAAATCCGCTCAAATACTCTCACAGCTGGAAAACCTTTGATACAGACCACCCAGCTTCCAAAGGCACTCTGCACAATCTCAGAGAGCCTCACGCCCTCGCCCTCGCCCTGCCATTGAGGCAGGGAGTTCCCAGCAGGCCGCTGCGAGATTCCCCCTTCGTCCAGCAGGGGGCTCTGGCGTTTGCATCAGGAGGCGGCTTGGCTTTGTTTGAACCGGGCCGCTTGGCAGCGTTCAGTTAGTTTCCTGGGTCAGAGGTAGCTCTTGATGCAAGCAGCCGCCTCCTTCTGCTCTTCCATTGTAGACGAGGCGGGCGAATTGGAGGCGCGCGGCTGCTCTCGCGCCCTTCCCCGAAGCCCGGGCGGCGCGCGGTGGCGGCGATGTAGGCGGGCGCGCGGACCTTCTGCACCCCGGCTCCCCGGCACAAAGCGGCTCCGCGGCTTCTCCGCCCCTGCTAACCCGTTTGCGGCTTCCGCGGGACGCGGCGCCCGCCGCTGCCGCCTTTATGAACTCGGGCGTCCGGGAGCACAAGGTAGAATGTCCCTGCCAAGCGCCCGGGAGTGGAGAGCGGCGAGGTCGAGTTGCAAGTCTTTGCATTGCTACGCTCCTCCTGGGGTGGGAAGAAAGGATGAGCAAGCGAGGAAGCATAGTGTCTCTGAGCATACGCAGAATACCTTTCCTTTCTGAACTATCTTCTGATCCCTTCTCCCACTCCGGGCGAAATGCAAAGTGTCGCTTATAGATGATAGTATACTATAAGGCTTCCTGTTTTCTTAGTGATAGCAGGTGTGAGTGGAAGCCTTTGTATTCTGAATGTCTTCCTGTTCCTTAATCAAAACGACCCTTGTCTTTGTAGTGAGTAAATGAAATGTTTTGGAATAAAGTCCTTATAGGATGTTCTTTACTTGATTGTTTGCTTGAGGAAGAAATGAAGTAGAATTTATAAATGATGGCCCTTAGCAGAAGATGGGGGGGGGGGGGGGGGGTGTCTCATTTTATTAGGTTTTTTTTACGGTTACAGGACATTAATGACTGTCCAATCTAAACTTAGGCAAATATGTCTGGCTTTATAAGTGCAATAAATTGCTGCTTGCTGACATCAGAATCTGGTCCATCCTCTAATGCAGTGGTTCCCAACCTTTTTTTCACCCCACACTCCTAAAGAAATTTCACTCGAACCTCGCACCCCCTGAAATTTAGACTTTAAGGAACTACTGAACACGTTAAATACATGGTAGGATTGAATCTTTTCAGCTATGTATGGCCACTAAATAACAATACTTAACTCTAAAATGAAAACAAAGTTAATCCATTGCAAAAGAAAATAAAAATGCCAACATATAGCCAATATCCTATTATTTACCTGGACTTTTCTCGCACCCCCTGGAATATCGTCTCGCACCCCCAAGGGGTGTGAGCACCCCAGGTTGGGAACCCCTGCTCTAATGTTTGCAGCACCCATTCAGTCCCCTTGACCCTTTCTAGGGAATGCAGGATTTTAAATTCTGAATATTATTTTATGTGTAAAAAAAGGAAAATGGAACAAAACCCCAAACTTTCCAACTATCATACTGTACTTGTAAGCATGTCTAAGACATATGTGCTATTAGTAACATTTAAATAATTTAACATGGTAAAATAATGAAGGGGGATTATTTGCACATGAATTTATAAATAATGTGGTCTCCCAAGCAGTTTTCCTAGTGATAAAATACTTAAATGTCCATAGAAAGGCAGGTAAAATCCAATAAGAGAAAAATATCTGTAGCTCAGGGTTGAACTGCGGAGTTCTCGGTACTCTTAGTTTATTTAACTTAGTTTGTTTGCAGACATTTCGTTATGCAACTAAGTACCTTCATTGTGCCTTGTGATGTTACTAAATTGGGTAATGAAATGCCTGTAAGCAAATAACCAAGAACAGGGAGCACCAAGAACTCCAGAGGCAAGTTTTTCAGGTCATTTTTAATTGATAAGAGCATGGTTATTCTTCGAACCTTGTAGCATAGATTTTCCTGCATAGAATTGGTAGGAGTCCTGCAAATTTTACTCCACTTCAGTGTGTACTTTTTAAAGAAGTTGTTTGCGTTGCAAGTCTGCAGATAAATTGGATCTTTAACAGAAAAGTAGGTGAATTGGTGGGAAATGATTAAAAAGTGGAAGTCAGAAGATAATAGGTCACATGGAAAAAATTTCCAGGAATGCAGCTTTTCCAGAAATGAGGACAACACTGGACTGTGAATGCTGTGGGCTTACATTTGTGTGCTGAGGAAGGCTTAAAGTATAGATGTTTTTCCTGTTGTGTGAATTCTCCAACCTTAACTGTACAATATATTGACTCCCCCACCAGGTAAGAGGAGGTCACAGGATGAGCCATATGGAGAACTTTAGCCCGGAGGAGGCTCGCTCTCAGCTGGTGACCAAAAGAAAATTGTTTAAGATGCTAAGCTTAAGCCCTGGACACAGCCAAGCCCGCGTGTCCGAAACAAGGGAGAAGAAAATACCATCGATGACATGGCCTGTGAAACCAGTGCATACCATCAAGAAACGCAAAGCCTTCTTGGTGCATCGGGGTACCCAAACCGAAGAGATCCCGGATATCTGCATTGAATGTGGGAAGGTCTTCATCCAGAACTCCAGCCTGATCAGCCCGTGGCCTGTCCAGAGCGACGATAAACCGCACAAGTGTTCTGAATGTGGGAAAAGCTTTTCTGTCCGTTCCAGCCTCAACCGACACCAGAGGATCCACACCGGGGAAAAGCCATACATCTGCCTCGACTGCGGCAAGCGATTCAACGACAAGTCCAACCTTACTCAGCACCAACGGATCCACACGGGCGAGAAGCCCTACGAGTGCATTGACTGTGGCAAAAGCTACAGCCGCAGCTCTCATAAGAAGAAGCATTTGAAGGAGCCGGTGGAGGAGCCCCAAGAAGCCTGCCCCCCGGTGGGCAGGGCCAACGCCGGCGCCATTGACGAGAAACCCAAAGCGAAACAGAAGGCGGAAGTGATGAACACGTGTACGGAGTGCCTGCGGAGTTTCGGCCACAATGCTGACCTGATCAAGCACATGCGCATACACACGGGGGAGAAACCCTACAAGTGCAACATCTGCGAGAAGAGCTTCAACGTCAGTTCTAACCTCTTTCGACACCAGAGAATCCACACTGGCGAAAAGCCGTATGTGTGTACCGAGTGTGGGAATTGCTTCACTGACAAATCGACCCTGGTCCAGCACCATCGGATCCACACCGGGGAGAAACCTTACGCTTGCCGGTTCTGTGGCAAATGTTTCAGCCACAGCTCCCACCACAAGAGACATGAGAAGATCCACAACCGAGAGAACCCCCTCTTTGCCTACCCGATCCCCTTGTTTTAACAGGTTGCTCCCATGGGAAGGGAAGATAGAGATAACTGTGTCTTGAGGAACTTCCTTTATTTTTGTTTCTGAAGAGTGTAGGACCCGTTTGATTGATCTCTGCCCCAGAAAGTTTGCTTTCAGTTGACTATAGCTTAGCAATGTCTAAAGATGTGGTCAGTTCTAAGTGATACAGATCAGCCTTTTCCTGCCTGAAATATTCTATGGCTGTGTTCTTTAACCTTGGCCGATGGAAGATGTGCGGACTTCAATGCCCAGAATTCCCCAGCTAGCTTGCTGACTGGGGAATTCTGGGAGCTGAAGTTCACACATCTTCCAGCAGTTCAATACAGCTGCAGCACATTGATTTGGAGAAAACTACGGGGTAAATTAGAATGAAGGCTCAGATGTGCTGAGTTTTGGTAAGAGCCTTGGAATATTCCAAATTCCAGGTGGGTATTCAGAGTATCAATGTTTGGTTATTTCTCAAATAGGTCCTTCACAGGAATATTGGGGATACTTTGAAATCCTGTATATATCACTTCTGTTTTTATATGGAAAACTATCAAATTATTTATTGATAATCTCCTAATTCTATTTAATTATGAGTGAACCGCCTGGTGATTTCCTTGTGTTGATTCCCTTTGTTTCTGGCTCACCTAAACCAGCCTTTCTCTTGGCCCGGGGATCTCCAGGTATGCTGGATAGCGGCTCCCATCCTCCTCCGTTTCAACCTGGGGAGAATGGGAGTTGTAATCGGATACATCTGGGTAGACTGGACTGAGAGAAGCTGGATTGAACGGACCAGGCCACAAGTGAAGAGAGATGGGAAGGCTCCCAATCTCTATGTGAAGACTCTGTGGAGTAATTTAGACAAGGTGTAAAATTGCCTGAATAAGTCTTTGGCTTTAGGGGAGAATGATATTTCCTGACTCTCTACAACTATCTGCTCAATTAGGAGGCCCAAGTGAATGAACCTTGTGTTTTGATGGACTGAGATTTTTTTTTCTTCTCCAGATTTCTTGTGTGGTTAACTGAGTGGGTTGAATTCCCTTGAGGCCTCTCTGAAAATTATGTTTGTAAAATCTTGGATCTGTTGTTCTTTGCTGCTCTTTCTCAGCATTGGGCAATTAGGAATGGACGTCCAGCAGCTGAAGATGGTCATAATTCTCTAATGACAGGAAGACAAATTGTGCGTTGGCGCTTTAAGAGACTGTTGTGTGGCTATAGTGCTTGGACTTCTCCAGGCCAGAGACTCCCTCAGTTGCTCACCCAAGGGACTGAGGAGGTGTGTACATGTATGTCTGTGTGGGTGGGTGTCACACATGTACACACAGACTGGTTAAAAACCAAACTAAGCAAGGTGGGATCTGAAAATAACTCAACACACCTGGATTAGCGGACCACTAAACATGAATGCAATATGTAATAAAATGGAGGATATTTGTACTTTTTTGTGGTGAGCTGGTCACGTATAGATAGCATTTATTCCACCATGAAGAATCTTACCAAAATTCTCAGTGGACCTCGAGTCCTGTTTTCCTAATGCTTTTTTTTATTTTTTATTTTATTTTATTTGAAACATCACAGCCTTCAGGACAAAGTTGGAATGTCCAGAAGAGCTGCAATCACCTTATCCCTTAATTTCTGTGTATGTTCTGATTTGTTAAGTCCAGTTTATGTTCAGATCCATGTTCTCTCCGGTTCTGATCCATCTAGCAGTCCCTGCTACTCAGATTGGAGAAAATTTTATTTGAATCTTGGTACTTTGCAGCCAGAGTTGTTCCTTCTGTGCCTCGGGTTCTTGTCTATATTTAAAAAAAGAAAATTGGAGAGAAAGAAAAGATCCATCAGGAATATGTGGTGATCTACTAACCAGAGAGTTGTGTTGATTAATTAATGAAAAGAAGGCAAATAATGTTGAACTTTAGAAGCCAGCTGAGGCTGTATATCTAGATCTAACAGAAGTAGCCAGAAAATGAAAAATAAGTTACACAGTGGGGAAGGTTTGGAATTAGCTGTCCATAGAAGAGTGTTTTTTGCTGTAGTGAAATAATTTTTGTGGCTACCTTTTATCCTTTCTGTAGATAACCTTTATGAAAATATTTGTCATTTAATAGAATCTGATAGGACCTTTTACCTGTTGTAGCAGTTGATTCTACAGGTTAATTAAGGCTTTTTAGTTATTACTGATGATACTGAGAAGGTGAGGATAAGTGTTTCCTAGTTCTACAGATAGAGGGGGAAAAGAACAACAACAACAACAACAACAAAAACCCCACAAAGCATTCCAGTTGCTTCTGCTTGCATTTTTTTTAAGGTTCAACAGAGCAACATCTTGGTTAACATGGGCATTTGGAATGTTTTCACATTCTTTTTAAGAATTTTGGTTTTGCGCTTTGTGTGGGTGTGTTTTCTTTCTTTGTTTGTTTTTAAGTTGGCTTGGTACAACCTGACCTCAAATATTTCTGCTGTTCTGTCTGCAGCATAATCTCTGAAGGATCACTGCAGCGCCGCCCTCAGTCTTAACATTCATTACGTTGGTCATTGCAGCACTTGGCACAACTCTACCCCAAAGTATTTTGCAATGGCATAGGGTATCTTGAGTCAGTGGTGGGATTCTATTTTTTTTTTTACTACCGGTTCTGTGGGCGTGGCTTGGTGGGCGTGGCAGGGGAAGGAGACTGTAAAATCTTCTCCAGTCAGAGGTGGGATTTGCAGGTTCACCGAATTACTCAAAATTTCCGCTACCGGTTCTCCAGAACTGGTCAGAACCTGCTGAATCCCACCTCTGTCTTGAGTGCTCAAAGCACCATTTCCTTTTGGGTTTTTACATTCTTGGATAACCAAGACAACGAACCTTTGTATCCCCAGAAGCTCATTTGAAATAATTAATGGGGTTTTCTAAGTTAGTAAACTATGAAAGGTTCCATACCCGTCTACTGAAGATCGGTTTCACAAAGGGGAATTGTGGCCTAGTTCACTTTTTTGAAAGGGTGATGCATCAGCGGTGGGGAACTTTTCTCCCTTCAAATTTATTTGGTCTCCAGTTTGTAGCAGTCCCTGCTGCTGTAGAATAGAGTAGAGTACCATTTCTCCACCTTGTCAACTTTATGAAGTCTGGACTTCAACTCCCAGAATTCCCCAGCCAGCATGGGTGGCTGGGGAGTTCTGGGAGTTGAAGTCCAGACTTCATAAAGTTGCTAAAATAGAGAAACTCTGGTCTGGAAGATGACATGCTCCCATTCCTGGTAGATCAGTCAAGGCCTGCTAATTGTGAGGAATGGAAGGAAAGTCAGGTCCAGTGCAAGTAGCATAATTAAATACCAGATGTTGAAGGCAAAGAGGTGGTTTATGTTCCATCCTGTAACTAATGAAAATCTCGCAGTTTCTTGATGGGTCATCACAGAGTCTTACATTATATTACTTTTCCCTCCAAACTAAGCTGGTCTGCAAAGAGGAGAAGCTAATCCAACATTCTTAGCAGATACTAAACTCTGTCAGATTCAATGAGTCTGAATTAGTAAGGTTATTGCCAAATGTTCCTTCTCACTCTTGCTTACCCCAATACTCCCACAGTGTTACATATAGTTGGTAACACTAAGCTTAATGATAGAACTTGAATGAACTATAGTACCATTAGCCATCTATGAGGTGTTTATGGTCCATAAGTTTCCCAGTGCAATGAGTTTTCCCACAGTCTTGCCCATCTGTTTTCCAAGGCAAACTTTCACATTAATTTCAGGTATAAATACATCTCTATACACCAAATAACTTTCCCTTCATAGGGAGGGTTACCTTACTGGATCTCGCAAGGAAACGGTGGGGGAACCTGGAGCTCTGGATTGGTGGGTATTGAAACCTGCTCCCCATAGTGACTACCATTAATTTAGAGCACAGCTCGGGATGTGTGTGTGTCTGCGTGAGTCACCCCCCCCCCCCCCCCCAAAGAAAAAGGTAATGTGGTATAATTTTAAAGCAATCGTGTTATTACAGTGAATGGAGATTTATAATAAATTAATAGTATATTAATAGTATCTTAAGCATTTCCCTGGTGAATGAAAATTAAAAAATAAAATAAAATCCAACCTGTTCTGTTCAAGTTTTCCTCTTTCTACTGTTCTGTTCTAAATTCCACCACCGATTGTACTTCTAGGGCAGATCTGGGCATTTTACACAACTGGCCTTTTGTCTGGCTCCTCCTAATTTCAACTAGAAATTAAAAATAAAATGTAAGTAAGTGTATGCCCGGCATGCAATTGACTTTACTGTATTTTGAAGATGACTGCTTCTTATTTTCAGTTTGTATGTGTGCGTGCATACCTACGAACCTTCACAGCCAGGGGTGGGATGCTATCGGTTCTGCCCGGTTCTATAGAATCGGTAGCTCTGAAGAGCAGCAGATACCAAACCGGTTTTGGGTCTGCTGCTGTTTGGCCCACCTGCCCGCCCAGGCTCTTACCTGTCCTTTATTTCCTGCTTTTTCAACCTCAGCTGCTTTGCGCGACACAGCTGAGATTGAAAAAGCAGGGAAAAATGGCTTTTCAAATGCTACGCACCCACGCACAGCGCTTTTTAGTTCTCCAGGCAGCACAGCTGATGGTTTTTTTACACATGCACGTAGCAAAACGTAGTCACCAAACTGATAGTAATACTGGTGGAATCCCACCCCTGTTCACAGCCCTATTGATTTGGCCTTTCAAAACAGTCCAATTTCTCACGTGGCCCCTTGGAGAAATTAATTGCCCACCCCTGTTCTAGGGGCTCACTTCTTGGGTGATTAAGCCATACATGCATAACCTTCACGCTATTTATTCCCTTTTGGGGTAAGCAACGTTACACAAAAGAGCAGAAAGGATGATGCCCCTCTATGGCCCATCACAAGGGGCTTCCACAAATACTTTCTTGCAACCCAGAGAAATTGGCGCAGTGGTTAGAATGCAGTACTGCAGGCTACTTCTGCTGACTGGTTCTTTCAGTGGAACCCCTGAAAAATGGTTTGTAAAAAGATAAGCAGGTAAACAGAATTGCAATGTTTAGCAATTGTGCTTACTTGTATCCATGACATTATTCTTTTGTTTAGATCTGGCTCCAGTCTGAATCCAAGACATTTTTAGAGCACTGGCCATGTTTTTTTGAAATCTCTTCTATGCTCTCGCATTTGTAGCATTGTAGCTTTATAACCCTTCGGCTGATGCTGTTTTACGGAGAATATTAGTCCAACTATGGGAGTTATTTCTTCATGCTCTAC